AAAGGAAAATCACGGGTTAAACTGGGGCAGCATTTAAGGGAATGTAATCTCAGAGTCAAGAGGGATCAGAGAGGGAATTTCCCTCCACAATCCTCTATTCCTCTGCAGCCTCAAATTCCTTCCATTTCCCCTACCTTCATCCTCATCACCACCTTCTTCTTCATCCACATCATCAGGGTTCTCTTCATCATCCTCGTCAGCTCCGTTCTCCTCATCCTGAATGAAACAAACTGGTCAGAGCAGAAACTGGTGCCAGGATGACATATCCACGTGCTCTTTGCTACGAGCACAACTTCCAGAGCTCCAGCCGCTCCAGGAATGCATTTGAGCGCATTGCTACTCCGACACCGTTATTCCCACCACCCCTGCTGCACACTCCTCCCAACCAGCCCTCCTTCACCAAGCCAATCCTTCCAGTCCATCCCCAACATGAAGCTCCTTGTCTCCCACGAGCTTACATCCTGATGAGCTGCTGCCATCCCTCCCAACAACCAAAGCATCTCTCTGATTACAGGCTAATGACTTAGCCGAGGCTCACGGTACATCTGCTTCCAGATCCCTCCCGAGCTCCATCAATCTGTGCGTTTCCTCACTGTTCCTCCCCCCACCTTCTCCAACACATGCTCCTTGTGCACCTCAGGATACCCCAGTGGGCGCAGGACCACATCTCCCGTGCCACATTCTCCCACTTGTTCTCGGCTCCATTCCCTGCTGTGACCTTTCTTCTCCCTGGTGGGCTGTGGTGACTACACTAAGTCCTTCAAGGCTCATTCTCCACAATTATCCAAGAGCTCACTCTCCCTTCATCTCTATGCTTGGCCTGCTCCCTTTCTTAATCTCCCATATTCCCTTCATATCTGCTACCCACAGCGAGCACAAAAACCTCCCCGACGTCACCAAATCTGTCCCTCAGAAGAACCTCACCTCTACTATCTCCTTCTTCTTTTCTTTGTGGACTGCTTTCTCTTCGAGTTTTTCCTTCTTTTCTTTCCTTTCCTACATATGAAATGAGGTGCGGGGGGAGGGGGGGAAAACCAACAACATTCCGGCGGTCAGCGGCAATAAAAGACGGGGATGCCTAAACAAAGAAGGCTCGCAGGAGAGGCGGAATAGCGGGCGAGGAGACATATTAGGCGTTAAATCCGCCCGCCTGACAAAGGAAAACAGCAGCGAGCGCGCGTCAGAGCTACTTTTAGCCCGCACACGCGTGTGGAAGCCAGAAGTGGCACGGAAGAGTTTTAACGATTTATCAGAAAAAAAAAAAAAGGGCAACCTTGCCCGTAGGATCGAGGCGTTTCCGGACCTCTCTGTCTCTTTCTCCCTCTCCGTTCTACCCCTCCCTCCTCCTTCCCCGGCCATGCGAGGGCCCGCGCTTTGTGTCCGCACAACTTTCCCCCCGCTCCGCCGTGACACCGCTCCCCGCCCCCCCCATCGCCCCCCCGCCTTCCCCCGCCGAGCCCGTTCCCTCCCCTCCCGCCGGGAGCGCGGCCGGTGGCGAGGATGGGAAGAGGGGAGCGGGAGGGGAGGGAGGTGTCTCACCTTAGCGCTCAGCTCCGCCGGTGCCTCCTCAACGCGTTTTTCCGACATCCTGGCCCCCCGGTTGCGAAGGGAAGAGGCCGGTGGGAACCGTGCGAGAGAGGGAGGGAGCGGGCGAGAAGGGGTCAGCGGCGGGAGCGCAAAGTCCCAGCGGTCCGCAGGCGGCGGCAGGATCCCGCCCCGGGGGCCAAAGTACCAGGGTCTCCCGCGGTGGGGGGATCCGCCGGGGCAGGGGATTTATACAGCGCCGGTGACGAGGGAAGGAGGGACCTGGGGAGGGAGGAGAGAGGGACGGGAGGCGGAGGAGGGAGGGGAGAGGGACGGGCCGCTAGAACAATGTGCGCTCGGCCGCGGCCGCCCGGCAGCGGGGGCGCACCGCGGGTCCCCGCGAGGCGCCGCACAGGCCGCGTCGAGGCCAGCCGAAAGCCCCGCTGCGCGCCGAGGTGCTGCGGCTCCGACGGGGAGGGGAGGGGAGCCGAGCCCTCTGCCCGCAGCACGCCCGGGGAGCCGCCCGTACAGGCTGGCTGGCTCTCCAGGAGGAATCCGGGGGAGGCGAGAAGCGGCGCTGCGGGGCCGTGTGGGAGGGCAGCGCTGGCGACACGCGGCCTCCTGCCTGGAATTTTCCACTCCAGCTGCCCGCCCTTCCTCCCGCTGGAAGCGCTCCCGGCGGCGGGGCTCCTCCCGCCCCTCCCCTTCTGCCCTCCCCACCTTCTCCCCCCGCCCGCCCAGCGCCGGGCGCTTTTCCCGCGCTCCGCGCGCGGCGGAGGGACTGGGCGGGGCCTCGGGGCGGGGGGGCGGATTAACGATCGCATCCCCCGGTCCCCATATAAGGAGGGGCTGGGGCTGGGGCGCTGATTGGGCCATTCAAATGAGCTCTCTGCCTGGCAACAGGTTTGCCATTGGTTGGCGGCGGCCGGCGCGCCGCGGGGCGGGGGCGCGGGGCCCTTTGGCGCAGTGCGAGGCGGGAGGGGCCGCGGGCACGTGGGGCGGCGGGAAGGCGCGCGAGGGCGCGGGCATCGTCCCGCTGGGCTCCGCTCCGCGTGCCCGGGACCGACCTCCCGCTCCCGGCCACCCGCTCCCAGCCACCGGCCCACAGTGCAGGGCCTGCGACACTGACCCCTGCTGCCCGTCCGCCCGCCTCAGGCCCGGGCTCTGGCAGACATTGTGCCGGTGCTTCCCTCCGGGCTGGGAAGGATCATCGCCCAGCACCTGGTCTCCCTTTAGCCTAATGTCCTTCCTGCAGAACCGCAGGTGGTGACTTGGAACTGCAGGGATTTGTTGGTAATGAAACAGATGTTCCCGTAGCCGCTCCTCAACCCTTTGGTTACCAGCTTGAGCAGACTGGGATGACTAAATTCCCTTCACCTTTCCCAGAAGGTTTATATTATATTTATATAATTTATATTATAATTACAATTTATATTGTCCCGCTCTTAGTCACAGGCTCATACAACAGGAAAAAGAAAATAAATCTGCACGCATTTGCAGGCCTACCCGCGTACAGACGTGAGGGTGCACAGGAGCGCGTAGGGACGTACAGGTGTACGCAGTCCTTCTGGCAGGTGCAAGGCAAGGTTGTTAATCCGTCTGGTTGGAAAATGTATTGAGGTGCACGAGCCCTTCTTGTCCTCCAGATACAAACTCGGCCTCTGTGCAAAGCCAGATTTAGAGCTGCTCCTCTTGAGTTTAATCGAATGTGTCTCGGTTCGAGCATTTAACAGCAAAAGCCATTGGTATTCCTGGAACACAGGGCACTGAGTATGTATCTCCTGAAGGAAAGCATGAAGGAGATTGGATAAATTATGATCTGTGTGACAGGGAGGTAGAAGGTCCCCACCTTGTCATGTCGTCTCCTCCACGGCAACAGCTGCTTCTCTCATGATCTGACTAATTGACGTTCTTCCCAGCTGCACACAGTGCAGAGTGCCTGCCCCAAAAACAGTCCTGTAACTCAGACACACACATCTAGACTAGTACCAAAATAAACCAATTTATGAAAATGCATGCACTAATTTTTTTTTCCCCCCACTGTTTCACAAAACCCATCTGGCCAATTTCTTAGGTCTAGCTGCTGTCAGCATTCCAGCTCTGGTTTGGTTCAAGTAGCCTTCTTTCATCCTTCTCTTTTGCATGAAGAAAATCTTGATATCTAGATATACACCTAAAAATGGGACCCAAAATAACCTATATAGTGGCCAGATGTTGTTCCCCTCTGCTTCTGCTTGTCAGAAGGTGCATGGCTCATTGCTCTGCTGTTCTCCTCACCAATCCAGAATTTTTTTTCCAGGATCCTTTTCCTTTACACACTCAACCACTGAAAACACGAAATTACATTGACACGTATCCCTTGGCAAAGACATCTTCACATTAACGCACAAACAGGCCTTGACACAACATCCTAGAGGGGAGAAAGCAAAGGATTATGTTCAGAGATGTTCCCGTGCCCAAAGCTCTGTGTTGACACAGACTGCACACCCACGGATGCAAACACACAAACACCTGTTTGTGCAAGGGGAGCTCGTTTCCAGCAACCTGTGGGATGGAGCTGTGGGGTCAGCACTACAAGCTGGCATGGCAGCAGCGAGCTCTCCTTTCCTCCCCAGCACCTGCAGTCTGCAACCTCACATTGTCCCTTCCATGCTCCCCACCCCATCCGCTTTGCAGTTTTTCCCTCATCTGCTGCTTCTTGGCATTTGTCTCCTACCTGTGTTCTTGGCAGCACTCTTCCCATGGCCCTCTCCCTGGCTTCTCTTCGTGACATCCTGTATCTTACTACAAAATTCATCTCACATCCCCTCGTTTGTTTTTCACGTCCCATTTTGCCCTGCATGATTGTGTCAACTCTGCTTTTCCTCTTAAATCCAACATGAAATTCTTCTTCATTCCTTGTGACCTGCCTGTTTCTGCATTCTGACTCTTCTTGCCCTTTGGATCCCGGTGGCGAGATTCCCTGGGCTTCTAGTGTGCAGCTGCTTCCCTCAAGCCCTGAGGGTATCCACTGACTGTCTCACCTCGCTCTTCCCTGTGACTTCTGCTCCTCCACCTGATCTGTGCCACTCTGCATTTCGCCTGCCAGATCGATGTGCAGCTTTTCTCCGCTCCTCTCTCCCATCTGTGCTTTCCCCTTTGTTGCAAACGCCAGTACACTCATTGTGCGCTCTGCAGATGCCAGTCCCTGCTCAGTGTGTTCTGTCGTCTTTGTAGTCGCTTTGCCAACTCAGCAGAATATATTCCATCCTTTTTGGGGACTTATGTCCTTCGACAAAATGAGGGAGCTGCAGAAGTTACGTGACAGATCGTTGTGTGGAACAGATGCTGGCCGTGCCTGCAGCCCAGACAACAATGGGAATGTCATTTTCTCCATCCAGTGTCACAATTTTGGTGCTGTACCGTGTTTGTGCTTGGTGTTTATGTAGGTGTGTGCATGTGTTTAGGTGCGGTACATACCTGCGTGTGCACGGAGGGGATATTTTCCCTCTGATGCATTCTTTTACTCTGGTGAGTGTAGAAAGTGTGGTGCTTTTCTACTGAGGCGTGCGTTGAGCTTGCTGGCGTGTGCCATCATACGTGAGCACGTGGTTGAGATGTGTTTGGGCTTTCATGCGTGGTATCTGTTGTTCTGCTCCCAGCAAATGCGGGGTGAATGCACCTAGAAGCAATTATTTATGCATTTTGGTCTATCACCTTGCTAGTCATGTCACTGTGTTCTGATGGGGGCAGGGGGGCGGTGACCTTTGTGTTTATTTTGAGGGCTGAACTAACTAACTGTGAGCCATTTTCTGAGCAGAAGCAAAACACAATAACTGGGTATTTTAAGAATTATATTTACTGAGCTAACTCCTAAGTGGTTCCAAACCTCTTCCAAACTGTTTGCTGAATAACAAAAGAGCAGAAGGATGTGTATTTGCATTAAATTTTCTTAGATTTACATAAATACGAAATATCTGTCCTTTTCACTTACAGCAAAAGTAGCAAAATCTCAGTGTGCAGAGGGAATGTGTTTGAATGCATTTATGTATTTAACCCACGCTGTTCATCTGTCTGTACTGTGTCCATTAAAAATCCCGGCAGATAACCCGCTTTGTACTTCTTTCACGATGCTGTATACCGAATTTAAGATGAAATACCCAAGAATTCAACCACCGGCCACCTTTGCATTGGGAAATGGCTTCCTGAGATTCAGCATATTTAAATAAGCCCTGCAGGAGGGCTGGAAGCAGGGTAGGTAACACAAGGAGAAGAAGCAAGAGGAGTAGAAGGGAATGACGAGGGGTGACACAGCCTGTCAGAAGACTGGAAAGAGGAGGGATGTTTTCAATCGTGATTTTTTGTGAGCCTCTCTTTGCTAACGCAGCACAGATGGAGGTCGTGGCTCTCACTCACAGTGTGACAGACACACTCTTAACACGAGCAAAATATTCTGAAAGTAATCGCTGCCACACAACGCAGGCTGCAGCCACCACAAGCTGGCTGTAGCATCCCAAATATGAATTTTCACATTTGAGGATCAAATCAGAGCTGTCCTTCACTCAGGGTGCCCTTCATCTGAGGTCGGAGTTAGTTGTTGGGTGAGGATTACGTAAGAGGCACAGATGAAGGGAGCCAATGAGGAAATGGCTGTGGGTAGCTCTGACTTCTGCTAACGAGGATTTCTTTGTCTTCCAGGCGTGCGCGGGGCCCCTGCAGCGTTCGGGCGCGCTCTCTCTGCCCTCCTGCCCCAAATGCTCGCTCCGTGCCGGCAGCAGGTAACCAGGCAGGTGTCTCACCCTGCCCTTTACGTGCCTTCCCCGCGTGATGCTCAGTTGGCTTTCCCGGGATGCCGGGGGGCGGCGGGCAGCACCGGAGCAGCGGCGGGGCGGAGCCCAGGGCAGCGGCGCCGCTCATCGCTGCCCGCCGAGCGCCCGCTGCCCGCCCTTCCCCCGCTCCCCGCCTTCCCCGGCGCAACCCGGGCAGCTCCGAGCGAAAAAGGAGAAAGAAAGGAAATGGAGACACATAATGGTTTTTGTTCACGGTGAAAAGAGAACAGAGAGTGTGAGAGGAGCAAGATGGGAGCCTTGCTTCTCACTCACACCCCCTCGTCGCTCCTTTTTCACTGGCCATGCCCTTGGAGCACATCGGGAATAACTGGTGAGTGCTGTGCAGAAACCTCTCCTGCCAACGCTGCAGCGAACAGATCCTGCATTCCTCAGACCTGTGGCCTTGTCCACATTCCACGAAAAGGTTGCCGTTCTAATTCCTCCTTTCAGGGTTTCACGCAGCGTTTGCCGCCAGCGTGACTCTCTGCAAGCAAGGCTCCCTCGAGGTTTGCTGAACTGGCAATGGCCCCGGAAATGCAGCCTTTGGTAAGGTGTCCATCAGCTGTAAGGACTGCCTGGAAAGCTGCAGAAATACCCAGGGAGAGGCACAGCCTCAGCCCCCAGTCTCACAAACTCAGCCCTTGGGTTGCACTTGCAGAGGAGCAGCATTAGGGACAGAAAAAGGATCTGCAGAGCAGTGTTTGTTCCTGACTCTTTTCTGTTCCTTTCCCCTCTGTGTTTGAAGGCATTAATGCCTGGCTTATAATTTGGAAAAACTGAGAGAGCCCTACCATCTCTGGGACTTTGCAGGAGTGGGAGGATCACTAGTATCCAGGGGACAGCAATTTATTTTATCCCAGATCTGGGGAAAAGAAGAAAGAAAGAAAAAAAAAGAAGAAAACCGAAAGATGTTTACATTTCTGCCCTAGAAGATCTTTACCTCCCTTTGCAGCCTGACACTTGAGGTCAACTCCACACTCCAATCAAACACCAAGAGTGCCTCAGAGCAAAAGGAAAACACACCAGACAGGAAAGGCTTTCCAGGCTGGAGGTCTCTGAAGGATGATTCAGGTTTGCAGAAGCAGCATCAGAGAGGTTGAGGCAGCGCCAGCAAGGGCTTTGTTTGAACTTCAGCACTCAGAGATGAGCTCTGAGCTGGTGACAGGAGCTGTTTCAGCAGCTCACTTGTGAACAGCCTCCCTCCGAGAGGCTTAACCCGTGCCCTGCCCATAGGACTTGTGTCCACCTCATGATCCTGCACCATTGTGCTGTCGACAGTTCCCCTATTGTGGATGTTTTGGTTTCAGCCTCTGCAGAATGCAATTACTGTGTGCAGAAGGGACTTCTGGAGAGCCTTCTGCATGCACACAGGCACGGGCCTCCCGTGAGAGGTCTTCTTTCTCAATACCAAGCAGTTCTGAGACCTGCTGGAGCAAGAAGTATTGCCAAGTCCTCTATGCATTCCACATGTGAGCCATGCTACTGGGTCATTTTCCTCTGTCAGACTCCGAAATCCAAGGACATGGCTCCTGCCACAACTCAGGAGTTCAATTTTTCAACCACTTCTTGCAACCTGCTATTTCCAGTCCTCTGGCACGGGTCCAGTCTGGCTCCTGCACATGGTGGGCCGGATGCAACAGTCAACAGCAGCACCACTGAGGAAGCGTGCCCTGGGCTGGAGCTGGGATGAGTCAGTCTGCTCTCTTCCCTGTAATCCAGTGGGGCTGGCAGTAGCTGAAGGCAACCAGCATTCCCCAGAGATGGTGACAGAGGTGTCATCCACCTTCTTTCTAGAGATTCCCCACCACTGCTGTAGGTGCACACAAGTACCTAGGCTTCTCCTGTGATTCCAGTGGCTGTCCAGGATCGGTCCCTGATGGCCCACAGCTGGCTCACAAAGTGATCCTCCCTGCTTCCGCCAGCAGAGCACTGCGTGCGCTCGCTGTGCATGCGCTCGGCACAGCCAGGCAGCTCTGTGGGTGCCTCCCACATGCCCATGCCGTGCAGGAACCCTGGGATAAGTGCTGCCTCTGCAGCAGCCAGGCAACGCTGTGGACTCTGGCCGGGAACCAACTGGCCACGAGCCACAGGGGTTACTACAGCATCACAGAATATTCTGAGTTGGAAGGGACCCATCAGGATTGTCGAGTCCAGCTCCTGGCCCTGCACAGGACCATTTCCAAGGGTCACACCATGTGCCTGAGAATGTTGTCCAAACACATCTTGAACTCTGTCAGGCTTGGTGCTGTGGCTACGTTCCTGGGGAGCCCGTTCCAGTGCCCAGCTACCCCTGGGTGAAAAACCTTTGCCTGATATCCAGCCTAGACCTCCCCTTACCCAGCTTCAGGCCGTTCCCACGGGTCCTGTCACTGGCCCGCAGAGAGAAGGGATCAGTGCCTGCCCCCGCGCTGCCCCTGGTGGGGAAGCTGTGCGGAGCGATGGGGCCTGCCCGGTCCCCCTGTTACCACCGCATCTTCCCATTCTATTCCCCTTCCCATTCCTATTCCCATTTCCTTTCCCATTCCTATTCCCATTTCCATTCCTATTCCCATTTCCATTCCCATTCCCATTCCCACTGCCCTTCCCCTTCCACTTCCCATTTCCTTTCCCATTCCCATTTCCTTTGCCATTCCCATTTCCTTTCCCATTCCCGGGCTGCCCGGCGGGAGCTGCGGCCCGGGGGCACTGCCCGCGGGGGGCGCCAGGGGGCGCTGTGCCGCGCGGCCCCGCCT